CACGATTGTAGCAAGTAGGCAGATTATGGGCAAGGTAGCAGATTGTAGCGAGTAGCAGATTGTAGCGAAGTAGGCAGATTGTAGGCAAGATAAGCAGATTGAGCACGAGTAAGGCAGATTGTAGGAGTAGCCAGATTGTAGGCAAAGTAGCAGATATAGCAAGTAGCAGATGGTAGCAAAGTAGGCAAGATTAGCAAGTAGGCAGATTGTAGCAAGTAGGGCAGATTTGTAGAGCGAAGTAGCAGATTGTAGGCAAGTAGCACATTGTACAAGTAAGCAAAAATTAGCAAGTAGCAGATTGTAGCAAAGTAGCAGATTGTAGCAAGTAGCAGATTGTAGCAAGTAGCGATTGTAGCAAGTACAGATTGTAGCAAGTAGCAGATTGTAGCAAGTAGGCAGATGTAGCAAGTAGCTAGATTGTATGGCGAGTAGCAGATTGTAGCAAGTAGCAGATTGTAGCAAGTAGCAGATTGTAGCAAGTAGCAGATTGTAGCAAGTAGCAGATTGTAGCAAGTAGCAGATTGTAGCAAGTAGGCAGATTGTAGCATTTAGCAGATTGTAAGCACGTAGGCAGATTTGTAGCAAGTCAGGCAGAGTTAAGGCGAAGTAGGCAGATTTGTAGCTAAGTAGGCAATTTACAGTAGTCAGATTGTAGCAAGTAGGCAGATTGTTTTAGGCAAGCTAGCGAGATTGTAGGCAAGCTAGCAGAGAATTTGAGCAATGTAAGCAAGATTGTAGCAAGTAGCAGATGGTAGCAAGTAGCAGATTTTGGCGAGTAAGCAGACATGTAGCAAGTTAGCAGATTGTTAGGCAGGTAGCCAGATTGTAGCAAGTAGGCAGATTGTCGGCAAGTAGCAATTGTAGCGGAGTAAGCAGAATTGTAGCAAGTAGCAGATTGTAGCAAGTAGCAGATTGTAGCAAGTAGCAGATTGTAGCAAGTAGCAGATTGTAGCAAGTAGCAGATTGTAGCAAGTAGGCAGATTGTGGCAAGGGGGTAGCGCAGATTGTAGCAAGTAGCAGATTGAAGTAGCAAGTTAGGCAGATTGTAGCAAGTCGGCAGATTGTAGCAAATTGAGTAGCAGATTGTAGCACGAGCAGATTGTTAAAAAAAAAAAAGCGGCAAAAGTAAGGGCAGATTGTAAAGGGCAAGTAGCAGATTGTAGCAATTAAGGTAGCAAGAATTGTAGTGGCAAGTAGCAGATTGTAGCAAGTAGGCAGATTGTAGCAAGTAGCAGATTGTAGCAAGTAGCAGATGAATTTGTTGTAGTCGATGAGATGTAGCGAAGAGTCGTCCGGCAGAATGATGCAGATTATGTGTTTAGTCAGTTCCGAATGAGAAAGAGTCGCAGATTAGTTGTAGGTAACTCTATCTTTATTAACTTAACAACATATACAAATATAATACACTACCACAGCCTAGGCAACCATGCCTAGGCTCCGGCGTCTCGTATCGATAACTCTCCGGCTCTCCACATAGTAACTGTGTAACTCTCCATATTATAATAACTTCGATCTAATAACTCTAGTAACTCTCTAATATATTTACTCTCTGTCCGAACGAGTCTATTTATATAGATTCAAAAACATACTGACCGCTCTAAACGATTCCGAAACCAGTTCTGCAACCAAGCTGCTTCTAACCAGTGACATAGTTAACGTGCTCATTGTCTGTAATCATTAGGGTGGCGCGGTGTGGGCTACGTATTATACGAGCACGACGTCGCCATGACATTACAATAACAAACAATAACTTGCCAGAGTTAGAAGTATAGACAATTAGTCGCATGGCCTCGTCTGGCTAGAAGCGCCACTGGTTAATTAGAATGTACAATACAACACACGCGTTATACACGTTAAGCTCTGTGAATGATTGTAAGCTTTATAAATTTGTGGATAGAAACGAGTCGCGCGTTGCTATAATCATCATTATTATTATTATTATTATTATTATTAATTATATTATTATTGGCGTTATTATATTGTCGTTGTTATTGTTCTTATTACATGCCATATATGTTTATATGTTATATGTTATAGTGCATGCATGTATGGCTACGCCAGCAAGAGAGAGCGAGATAGGCTTGATGTCATTGAAGTTGATCCATACGGCAGTGCTACGGTCTTCATAGATGCGGCCGTTAAGGCTGTCAAAGATGGAGGTCGTTTTTTTGTTCTCACCTTGTAAATGTTGTTAAATGAGAGTGTCGGGAGAGGAGCGCGCATGAGGGGCGAAGAGCGAGGGGGGGGGAAAGAGAGAGAGAGAGAGAGCGAAGAGAGAGAGAGATAGAGAGAGAGAGAGAGAGAACGCCCCTCCCCCGTACCTCATTCGCTGCTCATACTGCGCCACTCCCCCGTACCTCAACATTTTGTTATTAAATATGACACACATCTGTGTATTATTCGATAGGCGAAAGAGGAAGGTAAACTCGGCAGGTCAGTGGCCGGATCTAAGGCAGAGGCGATCCTGCGCAAGGAACCACTGTAATTATGTTGGTTGTAGATTATTAGTTGTAAAGATAATTCCGGCATTCTTTATTTTGATGATGTTAAAGTAAATTATAGTTTACAATTTACGGAGTCCAGTACGGAAATAATTATGACAGGTGATGATAAATCAGTACTACACTAACTAACTAGCTAACTAACTAAGAAACTAACTAACTAACTAGCTAACTAACTAACTAAGAAACTAACTAACTATAACTAACTAACTAACTAACTTACTTAATTACTTACTTACTAATTAACCAATTAAATAACTAACTAACTAACTAACTTACTTACTAACTAACTAACCAACTAACTAACTAAGTATCTATATAACTGATTACTACACACTATACGCTGTTAAATGGCATTATTTCATGTATAATAATTACTTAGATTGAGCGCCAACTTTGCGATACACCCCGACGCCGAAGCAGCATCGAAGCAAAAAGGTCTTCTACGATTCCAGAGAAACCCTCTGCCGAACTGGGGACCCAAACTCAAAGCCAGACAGAGGTATAATAAAGATAATAAGATGCAATAATTGCCGAGATGCTCTTATGAACGATGGTAATCGTGATCGTCTGGTGAACGCAAGAAGTACGTTGATGTATGCGAGTGATTTCTCGTGCATACATCTAGGCAAAGTGACGTGAGTGAGAATTCTGGAGAGAGACGGAACGAGAGCAGCGAGGAATACATGGCGAGAATCAGACACGAACGCCAGGGAACGAAAAGGAAACTGAAGAAGTTGAGAAATCCAAAAGATCTGAAAAGGTTCACCTGTAAGAGATTCACACGGGTACGTAGCAGTGTGAACTTCTCATATTCATGCTGATATGTTTAAACCTTATTTGTATTTCAACGGGGATAATAATATTATGCTTGTTGGCTGTGTATCTGATAGTGATAAAAAGATTGAAATTGCACTGTACACTTTAATATATATATATATATATTAATATATATATATATATTATAAGAGAGGAGAGGCCGGTTTTACTGACGCGGTAATCTTCGCCGCGGTGAGCATCAAGCCCACGCCACCGATCTCAGTGTATAGCCCCGTTTGGAGAAATATTTACTTTTTAAAATCTGCTCATCATTTTACTATGAAAGTGACCCTGAACTGATACCGTGATTGACGGGTTTAGTTTATTGACCTATGTATTTAGTTGAGTTGAGTTTCCATGTATTATTTTGATGTGAAGCGAATCCCAATGATAAGAGACACGTGACAGATGTCACCAATTGTGTTTTTAAAAGGCGAGACGAAGCTTGCAAAGCCAGAGAGCCAGATATTTATACCACCACATTCCAGCCTGCCACATTGTAGAGTGCTGCTACCAGCAAGGAGCAACATATAACAGCTAGCTCCTTGGCTACCAGGTGCTACTCGAAGTACCTGGCTTCGGGCAGAGCGCCACCTATTGGGCCTAATAATGGCAAATATTACAATAATGTCACACCTCCCCACCAACCTTGAGCCCACCGAGAGGCGAAAGGTTGTATAGACTATAGATAACTCAGATAAGCCTTGATTCGCGGCTTCGGCTGTCGACTGGAACGTCTCGGATTATCTGGCCCGTATTCGTCACCTACTGGAAGGCGCAGATTGAGACGCTTTGTTCGGTTCGGTTGGCTTATATACACCTGACGTTGCTGACTCAGGATTCTGTGTGTTCCCACTGAGGTAACATCCAGGCCTGTCGTGTAGGGTGAAAAGGCGGAGTTGCGGATAGTCACAGAACGGATAACTCTGGATTCTCCCCGGGATTTGTGTCCTCTTCAACTCCATAGCGAGGGCGAAGCTGTTCAATGTGCCTACGCCACACTGGTCCTCTGGGGTAGACACGCATGTTGACGCTGCGGGCACCATGTACCTTGGTGACAACCGCGGGGACCCATCTTGGATCTTTGTCTCGCCGTGGGCCACAGTAAAGTGCATAACATGGAGCACCTAGCGAGTAGGCATGCACTAGCCTAGAAACGATGCGACTAATCTCTCCGTGCTGTAATCTGGTGGTAGCCTCTTTAGCCTGTTTTCCCATGGGGCTCCTGTTAAATGAGCGATGCCTCGTTCGCGACACCAAGCCTGGAACGCTTCCGATATAAACATAGTGTCATTGTCGGTCACAATCGTGTGTGCATGGGTATCCGAAGTCAGTAAAGTCTTGCTCCAGTAGGTCAATGGTTGCTTTTGTCGACGTGGAGTTTGTCGCGTGAATACATGGGTATTTAGAGTAGGCATCGGTCATGACCAGCCAGTTGCTTCCTAGGAAATTTAAGACACGGGTCCATATGTATTCTACTCAAGGGTTTCTCTGGTAGCATCCACGGATGATTGGCCGGCTGCGAAATTCTTTTTCCCACTTGAGTTCCGGACCCACCATAGATAGTGTTTTGTAATATATGGTTCGTATATAATACGGTTGGATAATAGTTAGTGTTAGAGTTCGAGTACGGGTTAGGATTAGGGTTAGGGTTAGGTTTAGGGTTAGGTATTGTTGGTATTCATTTTACATTGTTGCTTCGAGGAAGTCGAGTGAATGGAGTGCGCTGATTGGCTGTGGTCCGGAACTCAAGTGGGGAAAAAAATTTCGCTGGCCGGCTTTGCTGGTTTATTCTGGTGTTCGGCGCAGGCAGTGCAGGCAGTGCAGCAGGCATATTCATCATAACTTGGCGCAATTTCATAACAATTTTGTATATCCAGAAGCTTTGACTACACAGAATCATAGAATCGTTCGAACTGTTTTGTCAGAATATTGCTTATTGTTTGTATCTCTGTTACCAATCTATCCATAGAATTAAGTAAAAAAAAGTTATAAAAAGGTAAACCGAGCCACCCGCTACCCTAGAGTGTCGGCTGAGAATTAGCCTTGCGTGTATACCATGCTAGTGGGAGGGTGATAACTGTCTTCTATCCATCTCGGAATCTCGACAGGTAGATTGAGTCCGTGTGGCTGGATAGTGTTTAGATTGTGAATCCAGTATGCTTCTCTTTCCTTTCTGATGGGGATCGTATGGGTGAAGGGGGAGGGGTGAAAATATTTTATAATTAAGTATATGTAGCTGAATTTGCCCTTCAAAGTTTAAAGTTAACTCTTGAAAGTTGTTCTTAAGCGTTTTTCCCCGAGCAACGCCGGATACCAGGCTAGTATATATATATATATATGCATACGACATAACAAGAGAGACAAAAACATCAGTATCATAAATATAAAACATATAATACATAATGTAATACATAATGTAATACATAATATAATACATAATGTAATACATAATGTATTATTAACTCTTCATATCATCATTTCTCTTCGTCACCAGCGCAGCTGCAAAGCTCTGCTGGTTCATGAGGGCGCGTGTGCCTGGCTGGCCATCGTACCCAGGAATAATGATTTCAACCGCGGTTAAATCATGTGTAACACGACCTCTGATTGGGTAAAAGGGCCATAATTTAACCGCGGTTGAATTATTTCTGAGTACGATGGCCACCCCATACGTGTGTGCGTGTTTCAGGGAGAGTGCACGCTGGGTGACCGCTGCTGCTACTCACACGACGGCCCCGCCGTCAGCAGCGCAAGAATGTCTGCAGGCGCTCACCAGGTGTCGCTGATCGATGGCGGCCCGGCGGAAGAGGCAGGCAGGAAGGACTACGACGCAGATATGTTCACGGAAGACGTAAACCACCTCACGATTTATAGCCGCGTCAGACAAACGAACAAATAAATAAACACAAACACGATTTAGCCGCGCCAGATAAACAAATAAATAAATAAATAAATACGAGGCCGGCTGACACGTTATAGCGATTATAGCGATAGAAGTCACTAGTTAGTAGTTCATTGTTGCACTCCAGTTCTGGTTTGGTCTTATGATCTTGGTTTTGTGGCAGCATCTACACACGCCACCATTAGTGCCTACATGCATATATAACGAATAACTGATTAATGACAGTAGAGAGAGAGTGGGGGAGAAAAGAGGTAGAGAGCGAGAGAGGGAGAAGGAGAGAGCGGGGGGGGGGAATGGAGAGAGAGAGAAAGAGCGCAAGCGAGCGAGAGAGAGAGAGAGAGAAAAAGCGCAAGCGAGCGAGAGAGAGTGAGAGAGAAAGAGCGCGAGCGAGAGAGAGAGAGAGAGAGAGAGAGAGAGAGAGAGAGAGAGAGAGAGAAGAGAGAAGAGAAGAGAGAGAGAGAGAGAGAGAGAGAGAGAGAGAGAGAGAGAGAGACGGCTAGGTAAGAATGTTTAGGAAATGGTTAGGGTTAGGGTTAGGGTTAGTCATATTATGTCTCAAGGGTATGTCACAGCGGTGAAATAAAGATGAATGAGAGCGACTTGTTGATCCGGTAACATCATTGTTAGATGTGTCATATATTGAGGATGTTAACGCACTACGTCAGGAAAGCCGTGGAAGACCGCACACAAACACACACGCATGCACGCACGCACGCACGCACACGCGCGTGCGTGTCGAGAGTACGTTAGCCTAACGTACGGTGATTTTTTTAAGTTTGCCACGAGGGGGAATACGGCTGTTAATTCACGAGAAATAACTTTTACTCTACTTCGTACTCACCCACTCACACACACGACCACGCACGCACGCAGCCACGCACACACACGTGCGAACGCACGCTGTTACCAAACTTGCTTTATACAATCAATACACACCCCACAAACTACTGTTACCGGCTGAACTTATACCACATAACCAGTTTATGACCACTTGATACTATACATTCTTAATACGCTCTTGATACTATTGATATAACGACAGACTTTTGAAGAAGAAAGATTTTTGTGAGACAAGCTTTATTCGACACAGAAATCAAAAGTACAATTAGTGTGCTTACGCGAGCACACAACGGCAACGAACTCAAATAACCAACCCCCCCATCGATAGATGGAGCCACACACACATCCGCGATGTCACACACTGACCACATCGCTACACGGGCAATCTGAAAAACACCGAACTCGCGTTGGTGCGACGAAAAACATCAGAAAATGCAGTTTTACGAATATTGATGATTATTAATATTACGTCGTACAGGCCGACGTGTGCGTCTGTCTACACAGTGATGTTATATACCGCACAGAATTCTAATTAACATGATAACGTAAATTACCGCTTGCCTTCCGTTCTGCACGCTCGCGGTCGAACGGACAACACGACATTCACTTGTTTCCGTCGGACACGCGAGCAGACGAAACCGGAATCGCAAGGAGCTCTAAGGCTGTTTACAAGTTACGCGACGACAGCAAACAAAAGAACGTCTCATCTTGATTTCCGGCAATGTGCGGGGGGAAACAAAAAAAACTATTTACAAGTCAAGACTCTTACTCTTCGACACGCAATTGACAAAAATAATATGATGCATCGCTGCATACATACATACATTGCATCATCATCGAACGCAGTCTGCACTCAATATTGTTACTCTGTCACATAGGCGTCTCCTGCTCTCACTTTCACCTTTGCTTTCTCACAGGTTTTACAGGTTTTTATTTCTAATGCTTAGTCTTTTTCCCCACATCAACATTTACTCCAACCGGACATCTTCCAAACGCGACTCAAAACATCTACACAACTCTTCACTTCCAACTTCTCTACAGAAATATCCGGCATCGATTACAAAACTAAATACGTGGAGGCAAACAGCACGGTTACACCGAATAAAAATACGATCCACTGTCGCCCTACCCCGCAGAAATCATCCCTGTTGGTGCTCACCCCCACAGGAATCATCCCTGTTAGTGCTCACGCCCGCAGGAATCATCCCTGTTGATGCTCACCCTCACAGGAATCATCCCTGTTGGTGCTCACCCCCACAGGAATCATCCCTGTTGGTGCTCGTCATCCCACAAGAATCATCCCTGTTGGTGCTCACCCCCACAAGAATCATCCCTGTTGGTGCTCGTCATCCCACAAGAATCATCCCTGTTGGTGCTCACCCCCACAAGAATCATCCCTGTTGGTGCTCGTCATCCCACAAGAATCATCCCTGTTGGTGCTCACCCCCACAAG